GAATTTTGCCTGAAACTCTCAGACTGAAGAAGTCTCTTGGAGGAGAGACGAAACGTTTCATTAGAGAAGAACCCGTCCAGAAGACCTATACAATTTTTTTTCTTTTAGAGTTTTTATAAACAGACGTTGAAGCTTTTCTTCACTTTTTTTTCCCTCCTGGTTCATCTGAATTTTCTTTCACATCCTAAAAACTTCATGCATACACTCAAATGCATGAGAGTCAGCAGTAAACAAAACCCCCAATGGTTTGACAGAATTCACAGCTTTAACAATGTATGTTGGTGGAAAAACCCCCAAATGTTACTGACCTGTGGAATCAACACATTTTGGATCGTCTCACTTTGTGGATATAAATGGTGCGTTCCATTTACATCGTGTTCCCGGAACTGGTAAATGGTAGTGACGTCATTTCCCAGCAAACCATATGAAACTGCATTCCAGTTAGCCGACAGGTGATTGCATTGCTGCCGCTAACCTAGCTATAACACTGCTACAATATAAACAATGACAAAAAGAGAGCTCTACTATGTACAGCATGCAAATAAACATTGATTTTAACACGTACAGCATTGCACAGAAAACACACTACTTGTGCGAGTGATTAAACATGCACAAAAACATAAAGAAAGATAATTAACAGTAAAAGTTAGAGTTAACTTTCTAAAGCTGCAAGTAGCCGCCATCTTGAAATCGAAATTGGGGGCAGTCGCATTTCTTCCACTATACCAGTGGAATGTTACCACTGGAGTGGTAATAAAGAATAATAATAAAATAAATAAAATAAAAATAATAAATAATAATGAAATAAGTGCGTCCAGTTTAAATCTACCAATGGGAACAGGGAAATTAGCACTTCCCAGGACTACTGGAACGCACCAAAAGTAGCGAGTATCACGTCCTGAAAACTAGAGACGTACTGAATGAATGAAACAATACATTTTATTCTAAAAGTTTCTGAAGCTGTCAAACTGGTATTTTCCATAAATTCAACTAAAGAAAAGGGAACAAATTGTGTGTTTAAGAGGCTGCTCAGAAAGTGCCTAAACACCCCTTTTAAAATGGTTTTTACTAAGAGTTTTTTTAGACACAATTCATCTCATTCTTTAAATTTAACATCTTTTTTGCCTGTTTTTATTGGTCAGTTCAAGTCACATAAAGGTAAAAAAAAATTATAAATATTTTGGTAATTGTAGTGAGAAATTAGGTGGCAAACGTAGCCAACATCCAAGAAGAATGTTGATCAAAACCACATTAATGATGATCAGAAAGTCTGGCTGCTTGGAAGCAAAATATAAATAAATGAACAAGAACTCAAGACTTTTGCACAATGTATTCAAAGCGTTTCAGTTTGGTTATTATCCTGTTTTTGATTGTTGCATCAACATAAATATGAGGGTTAATTTGTCTTCTTTCTCTGAAACAGATTGATAATGTCACAGCCATGTGCTTGTATAAATACAGCGTCATCTTCCAATCTTTCTCATTTCTTGAGTCCAGCTGTTCAGCAGCTGGACACATTTTTCCCGTCTATTCTTCCTCCCATCTGTTGTGTGTTCTGTCTTAGACCCACCGAGTGATTTTGACCGCCAAATGTATTTTTTTTTTTGTGGTACTTTTACATCCCCTCCCTCCCTCATCCCTCCCGATTCTCTTACAGCCCCGTCACCCTCATCAGCATGTGTCCGGAGGAGTACGAGTGAGTATCGACGCCACCAAGCAACTGCACCTCGTCTCCAGAGGGGACTGTTTAAACGACACCTCACTTATTTCACCACCCTTCTCACGCCAACTAGACCACAACAGTGCATGTTGCCTGACTTGCTGCATGTTTGCCCGATCCACTGGTTAAACAACACCTTCTTATCCGAATAGTATTCAGCTGCTCGTCCCGTCGGCCTGTCCAAAACCATCCTGCTGCTTTTGTAGCTCATCTCACCCTCATATTTCTCTCTCTAGGATCATCTTGTTTGTTTTTAGGTGAAGCTCCGAGTGGCTGTAGGGATTGCATGAGCCTTTGTGTGTGTGTGTGTGTTTTTTTTTTTTAACGAGACCAGGTGAGCATATCAAATCTCATTCATCTCCATTACTCCATTCATTCCAGGCTGGCCCAGACACCTCAGACCTCTCATGATGACACGCACTCCAGGATAGAGCAGTACGCCAGCAGGTACGCACCACAGTCTCCTGCCACCATCAGCTCTGATGGCATGAACACACACAGCGGCTTGACAATCCAGTTTAAATTCTGTTGGTTTGAAAATAAAAATATAAACAAAACTCCAGAAAGCTTAAGGTTAAACATCAAGCTAAACAGGGGTGTGTTGACAAATCTGCTGGCCGATTTCCTGATCATTTGATACTTGCATGAGAAAACTATTTTATTTACCACCTCTGTGAGAGAGGGCAGTTGTTCAGTTAAAACAAGTTTGTATTGTTTCAAGGGTGTTCAAAGTTTTACAGTAAAATAAGTTGGGAACATTGAAGGTGTATTGTGACTTTATAACGCCTAACAAATTTGGTATCGGCCAAAATCGGAATCAGTAGGTCAGACTTTTTAAAGGGATCCATGATTAGTTGTAACATTAGACTTTATTTGATAAACATTTATTTTAACTATAAAATAAAGACTGTAAAAATACTGTAGGATGTTTAGTTTTGTAAGTTTTTAAATACATATTTTAACATGGATGGAGCCATTTTATTTACACACAAAGCATTCTGGGTAAATGATAACGTGGATAGGTCCTCGGTGCGAGGCTGCTAGCGAGCTATATCCACCCTGAAGGTTAATCTTGGACAATATCTGATGATCGACTCTTTTAAATGAAACCAGAGAGCGTTGACAGAGAGGAGAAGGAAGAAATGACTCAGCCTGTAACTGAAAATATGGATGGAGGACAACAGAGCTGCTTCATGGAAGAAGAACCTCAACTTAGCCTGTTAGCTTTAGCATTAGCCCCGACGCTATACTGCCTTATATGTATTAGCTCGGCGCTAGCGCGACAAACAAGCTAAACTGAGGTCCTCCATCCATATTTTCAGTTGCAGGCTGAGTCATTTTTGTGTTCCCCTCTCTGTCATGTGGATGGATGACCTCAGTGATGAGAGGAGAATGTGTAGCGCTGAGCTAATACATACTGAATATATGGTGATAGCGTTGGGGCTAATGCTAAAGCTAACAGGCTAAGCTGAGGTTCTTCTTCCATGAAGCAGCTCTGTTGTCCTCCATCCATATTTTCAGTTACAGGCTGAGTCATTTCTASCTTCTCCTCTCTGTCAACGCTCTCTGGTTTCATTTAAAAGAGTCRATCATCAGATATTGTCCAAGATTAACCTTCAGGGTGGATATAGCTCGCTAGCAGCCTCGCACCGAGGACCTATCCACGTCATCGTTTACCCAGAAATTTGCGTGTAAATAAAATGGGCCCGTCCGTGTAATATATTTTTAAACTTTTATTTTAAAAATGATAAAAACTGAACATCCTACAGTATTTTTACAGTCTTTATTTTACAGTTGAAATATGTTTATCAAATAAAGTCTAATGTTACAACTAATAGTGGATTTCTTTAAAGATTGGGGATTGGCCAGAAAATTGCAGCCGGAGCAGCACTAATGCTGGTGTTCTAACATGTTTTAATTATAATATCAAATTTCAGAGCCTCAGTTTCCTATTCTTAGTTTACAGAAGTGCCTTATCTTTATGGTTTAACTTGTGCATTTTTGTGTCCTCCTATAAACTGAACGTGTCTCATCTGTAAATCCTAATAAATGAGCTTTTCTGGAAATCCATATCCACTTTATTTGGCACCAGCAGTTTTGTCAATTCCAAAGCAATTTGTGTCACATTTTTTTTCTAATTCTCAGTTCGAGTTTTAGAAAATAATTATGGCCAATCAGGCATCCATAAATCTTCTGCAGATTGAATTTTAAATATTTAGAACAAGCAATGTAATTTGTGGGTACCTGATATTTTCAGGAACGTTTGCTGTGAAATAAACCTGGTTGCAGTGATTAAATAACGTTGAGCCATAAGTAACTTTTCAGAACATCAGGAGCCATAAACACCCCTTTGAAGAATCTGCTCATTATATCCTGTTTGCATAGACTAAATGTCAGAGTCCTCTCTGTGACTGAGCTCTGAAGCCCCCCCATGGCTGATGACATTCTGAGTTTTCTGCTGTGATCAGAGTCGCGACAGATCGGTCTGATAACCGCTTTCAGCCGCCCGCTTCAAAACCACTCGCCGTATCCGCCGACTCATCTGTGTTCGCCGCGTGTGAGCTGCAGTTAACATCACTCGACCGCTCTGCTGCGCTGAGATCAATCTCCTGTAATGTTTGATTTTTGTTTGTAGACGAGTCAAAAGCGTCTCATCAGGGCTGTTTTTACCCGTGGATAAACGTCCAGTGGAACATATCTGAGCTTTAATCATAAAGATTCATCCGATGCTTCACTCTGTAATTTCTAATTGGCCACACACCATTAACCTTCGCTTAGTGTCTCCGCCTGCATTGTGTCATTAACAAAGACACATATGAGCTGAGGGAATAACAAGGCAAATGACATTAAGACACTCGTGTCAGACATTACACTGCAGCTCACACACGCCGCAGACATTTGAGAGTTTTAACTTCTCCCTGCAGTCATATTTGGTCACAGTTTAATTTCATGATTAATTATGGATCATTTTCCTAATCTGTTGGACAGTCCTGCTCTTTCTGTACTTTGGGGGTTTAGTGAAGACACGTTCTGGGAACAAGCTCAGCTCCATACGTTACACACATCTCCATAATGCATATCCACCCACACAAACACACACGATGGTGTTAGTGTAAATATTAAACCTACACCACGTAAACTTGGATAATTCTCATTTTCTCATAGCCGCTGTGGTTGTTTGCCTTGTTTTGTGCATGCAGATTGTAAAATTTAATCGGCGCCCTATCATATAGTCGCTGCCCCTCGTTGTGTTGTGCATCTCAATGAGGGGTTGACAGCCTTTTAAGTGTTTGGTTTTAACCCGGTCTTCTCACAGATAATGGCTTGGTTTTTTTTTGTTTTCAGGTTGGCTCAGATGGAACGATCCAACGGCTCTCTGCCCACCGACAGCAGCTCAGCCACAGGAAGCATGTGAGTCATTCCCGGTCATTTTCCACATTATTTTATCTCTGGGCTTTGTTATTTAATCAGACACTGATTACAGGGCTGTGAGTTCAAAATCAAATCAGCGCTGGTGCACAGGGTTTCAGGCTCTGTTCAGAGTGTTGAAGCTACAACACAGATTTGCTTTGGATTAAAGAGAACTAACGTTGGAAACAATACCCTCCAGATGAGTGTAATATTAGATCACAAAAGTGTTTTTTTCTACAAATCTGTCCTCAAAAGTGTCAGATGTATTTACTTTTTTTGGTTTATCACAAGATCAGGTGTAAAAAGTATAAAATTTGACTAAAGAATTTCTGTATTTCAACCATATTTTACCCTCATGCTATTTAAGTTTATCTTTATTCTTTCTACTCTTAAACAAACCAGAAAAACCGTAAGTCGCACGACCAGCCAAAATATTAAAATAAGTTACAAGTTAAGATAAACTGGTTCCGCCTCTCACTATGATTCGAAAAATCACTCTCGTTTGCCAAGTGTGTGAAAAAACAAGCAAACAATAGATGTACAGTGAGTGGGTTGTTTGTACTTCAGTGATACAAGAAGATAAATAGGAATTTTCAGAAGAGTAATATTTCAGAGTGATTGAGAGTTGTGGCAGACAGAGATGCTTCAGGTGATGAGAAACATGACAGGGTGGAGAAAAATGACACAAAAGTCAAAGAAGAAGCTTCGCAGGGTTCCTGCAGATCCTTAAAGTCTTAAGTCATTGAATTCATCAATCCAAAAATAAGGCCTTAATTAGCCTTAAAATGTCTTAAATCAATTTTTCAGAGGTCTTAAAAATGTGAACACATTTTAAATAGTATGACTAATTGTCTCAAATATTAAAAT